CACTTCCATAAATAGTAAAACAAAACGGAAACTGTGTCTCATTCAAGACTGTTTCTGTAATTGGGTAATTGTGTAGATGTCGAAAATCAGAAAATGGCCTCAAGATGACAAAAACAGCCGTTTCTGTGTGTTCCAAAATATCACAATAAATGCAAAACTAGATTTTCATGTTGTTTTCACTTTTAAAATGTACTGGTTTGTGTACACTTACATTCCACAGTTGTATACACACACTGACCCAAATCTCTTGTTTATAACAGCTTGAAGGCAACTGCAGCTCAGATGGTGACTGTGAAGGAGGGAGTCTCAAACGTACGGGACATGGTAAATCCTGATGGCCTGACGTGTGTGACCTCAGCAGCTCACTGAGTAACCGTCGGTCTTTCTATGACCAAACTCAAATTCGTCCAAATCTTTGACTTAAAGTTCTTAAAGTCAGTGACCATGATGAGGGAGGTAGAGGATCATGTCAGGTTATGGAACAGTGTATTTGCAAATTGGGTTGTGGCTCTTGAGACCTGCTATAGGACTGGCTCAGATACCAGAAACTAAGATAGACCAGATCGGACTCATCAGTCACTGCTAAGGTGAACATATAGACACTTGTCCAGCACTGACAAAACACCCCACACTAAAATCAACAACCAATGTCTTAGCACCAAACACAGCGTTGTTGATCATTGAGGCGTGCAAGTAAAACCCTGCCTTACAAAGCATAAGCACCAGTGTTGGGAGTAACACGTTACAAAAGTAATGCAGTTACAGTAAGGTATTGCTTTTAGCAATAACACATTAATATAACACATTACTGATAACATTTTGGTAATATCAGAGGTGCGGATTCGAGTTAGATGACTTGGACTTGAGTCGGACTCCAGTCACAAAAACGATGACTTTAGACTCGACTTGACAAAATCAAAGAACACTGGCAACTCGACTTTGACTTTAACGGCAATGATTTAAAACTTCTCTTGGACTTGAGCCTTTTGACTTGAGCTGACTTGACACCCTCCCTCCCTAAATATGAATTATGATGATATAGAAAAAAAACTGCGCAGTTCATCAACATGCAAATAATTAAATTTAATCTCAATGACTTTTTGGCTTCCACTGATAATAAAAACAAGTTCATTAAGATAAAACGATAATTGCACTGCAAGCCGTTTCACGACACTCGTTTTGTCTTTTAAATCCTGCGCACCCCTATACTTTTCAGCTGTGGCTCTTATCCTTCCTAAAGCCCAAACTCCCTCTCAGCAGGCTGTGATGTTTAATTCTGCTTGAGCCAACATAACTGGCTTGTAACTGCTATAACTTCCTTTTCAACATTAAGAGCTTAAACCTATGGCATTTTTAACTGCCGTATAGGCTAAAGGATAAGCAGGTATCCGTAAATGGATGGGTGGATATTATCTTTATACTAAACCAGGTGTGTTCAGTGTTGCTTTACCAGGTCGGTGCTTGTAAAATACCCACTGTGTTTGTGTCTTCTAACGTCAAACTGATTTATAGTTTTCTCACCATTGGTTTAAGTCACTGCATCCTGACAAAACACCACGGTTGTATTAATGTTAATAATATTGGATTACTATTTCTTATTTCATGGACTATTTGGGATTTTGGGGTGATTTTTTAAAAATTCCATCAATTAATAATGTTTCCTAAGTCAATGAGTAATCCTGTTGAATACTGATCTCAATATTGACCAAAGTAATTGTGATAATGAATTTTGCCTATTCGAGCCCTACATGAACATTTAATTTTAATTCATGAAATTATATGACTTTTGCTGTGTGAAACTACACCTCTGCCTTTTCTCTGCACAAGTTAACCCTTCATTCAATACAGTTTTTTTCATTTTTAACTCTTGTTAAAAACTAATGGTTTTAAATTTGCTGAAGAGTGCATTATGAGTTGTTTAGGACTCCAAACTCAAAGTTTATTACTGCTAAAGTGTTAAGGTACCCTCAGGGACGGTCTACAAAAAACAACTTCCCAAAAACGAGGAAGCGCCCAGTCCGGATACTGTTGGGACAACACGTCAGCAAACTGCAAACTAGAAGGGCAGCTCACAGGAAAACAAATGCCACAAATGAGAAAATAACATAAAATATAATAATGAATACCACCCTCCACTCCACTGAGGGAGTGAACCCCACCATGAGGTTCAGACTTGTCACTTGCTACACTGCAGTTTCACCCAGCTCTCCATGCTGTCTGCGCTCCACACTCTCCACACCCAGTCTGCCTGCTCTCTGCTCCTTATACCGGCTCCTGCGCTCCCGCTGATTGCAAACTGGGGACAGGTGTGCACCCTAGCCTCCTGGCTGCAACATCAGGCAGGGGGGCAGCCCCTGGGCAGACACACACGGCCTAAGGGCCGTAACAGCGTCCATTAAATTGCATTGAAAGTAACTCAAAAATAACGTAAATGTAGTGTAAAGCATTACAACTCACATTACTAATATAAGTAACATAATATGTAGTAATATAAACAACAGTAATATAACAGTAACTAGTAATCTATAATGTATTACATTTTGCAAGTAACTTGCCCAACACTGATAAGCACAGGCACAAACGTTACAATAACAATTTCTAATTCTGATTTCTGATAACTCACATGACCAAATCATGAAGCCACAGAGACATTAAAAACAAATACCATTCAGACTAGGGTCCAACCATATACAGTACTATTAGCGAGGTCAAAGAGCAGTTACATAAATATATTGTCCTCCATCTTTATGGTTAAATTCTGAGCCTTTGAAGTCCTTTGTGTCAACTTCAATGAGACCAATGTTAGCCAAAGCTTTAGATCTGTCTGTTTCAGACCAGTCAAATTCACCTTGAGGTGCCAGTATCTCTTTTGAGGCGGCATGCTGTTTCTAGGCTTGCTGACAAGTCAACATGGAGGGGGTCCTTTAGCTAAACAGGCTGGTGGGCTCCAGTGAAAGGTCAGAGCCTAAAGCTGGGTAACCAAACATGAACTCATCCAGCACATGATGAGAGTCACTGATAACAACAAAGCTAATCACTTGGACTGAAATTATATGTTAGGATCAGGGCCAGATAAGGAAACAGCTATTTCAGAGTGTGCTTTGCTTCACTTTAATATCTCGCTTGCTGCCATTGATGCTAATTTAAGATAAGATTATGAAAGCCTACGTCTTTCTTTTTCTGCTGCTCGAAACACATGTTGTAAGTCTGCCTAATGCTTGCTCCAGTGTTATTGAAGTTTTATTTCTAACAATGAACTCCAATATGTTTTTATTTGAAGGACAAATGACTGGAGTCTGTGTGAATGCCACTAAGACCTGTGAAGTGTTGACTTGGTGTCCTGTGGAGAATGATCGCAACATCCCAGAGTATGTGAAAACACAACAGTTATTTATCCTGCAAACTGTTGCTGATGCAATGCATCTGATGATTGAATTTGTAATGATTCTTTGCAGAGAGAAATATACATGACATTCCATCAAACTAATTTTGACAGCTACTTCCGGTCCCGCCCCAACCGTAAATATATGTATGTAACTGATAAGAGGGACGCGTACATCCTTCCGTTGTGTGTTTTTGAGTGATAATTGGAGGAGGTTTTTCATTGATTTAAAGACTTTATTAAGTAATAAAACATAAACTTGAATGAATTAACTAGTAGGTGTTTATGGCAATAAATTTATCATTAAAAAAGTATAGCAGTGAGTTATAAGTAAAGGAGGAATCTCCGGGGCCAGCAAAGGATCAGTAGGAGGTTTCTTCATTGATTTGGAATCAAGTCAGTCTTTATTATTAAACAAGTAAAGAATAAATTTAAATAATTACAGTAAAGCAGTAAAATGGTATAACGGTGAGTTAAAATTAAACAGCATTTTAAATTACCTTCAACAGCATGCGGCAAAATAAGAGTGAGTTCCAAAATTAAACTTTGTAAAATCTTTGCTAGTGCTTTGTCTTACAAACTTGCCATCATTAAAGAACTAAAGAATAAATTGAATTAATTACGGTAAAGCAGTAAAATGGTATAAAGGTGAGTTAAAATTAAACAGCATTTTAAATTACCTTCAACAGCATGCAGCAAAATAAGAGTGAGTTCCAAAATTAAACTTTGTAAAATCTTTGCTGGTGCTTTGTCTTACAAACCTGCCATCATTAAAGAACTAAAGAATAAATTGAAATAATTACAGTAAACTTACAGTATACTTCATCCTCTTATTTTGTATGTGACAGCATGTGGGAGATAACTGGTGAGGGGTTGGGGACCGTTACTTCTGGTACAACCAGATTAAAATATAAAGTCTGTAGTTCCAAACTCTTGTCTCCGGCTGATAAAAATAGGTTCCTGTTTCGAAAACGAACTCTGTCTGATAAACCCAGACCGTTTTTAACAACCGGGGTCTGGGGTTATAGATAACCATAGTTAATAACTGGTCTACAAGATTACCTGAAGATGCTAATGACAGTTAAACACACAACTTCATGTGGCTAATTGAGAAAAAGGAGGGAGGGGAGGGATGCAAGGAGGTGCGGGGGGTGGAGCACATTCCTCAATTCACCCTGCACAGCCTGTGCTACACCAGAAAGAGAGAGGACAGAGAAGAAGAGACACAGACTCTAGAAGGATTAAAGTTTTAAGACTCACAAGTTTAAGACTAGGCTACAGCTTTTCACAAGAGTGATAATGATGGCAAGTTTGTAAGACAAAGCTTTAGCAAAGATTTTATAAAGTTTAATTTTGGAACTCACTCTTATTTTGCTGCATGCTGTTGAAGGTAATTTAAAATGCTGTTTAATTTTAACTCACCGTTATACCATTTTACTGCTTTACCGTAATTAATTCAGTTTATTCTTTAGTTCTTTAATGATGGCAGGTTTGTAAGACAAAGCACTAGCAAAGATTTTACAAAGTTTAATTTTGGAACTCACTCTTATTTTGCCGCATGCTGTTGAAGGTAATTTAAAATGCTGTTTAATTTTAACTCACCGTTATACCATTTTACTGCTTTACTGTAATTATTTCAATTTATTCTTTACTTGTTTAATAATAAAGACTGACTTGATTCCAAATCAATGAAGAAACCTCCTACTGATCCTTTGCTGGCCCCGGAGATTCCTCCTTTACTTATAACTCACTGCTATACTTTTTTAAATGATATATTTATTGCCATAAACACCTACTAGTTAATTCATTCAAGTTCATGTTTTATTACTTAATAAAGTCTTTAAATCAATGAAAAACCTCCTCCAATTAACAGTCAAAAACACACAACGGAAGGATGTACGCGTCCCTCTTATCAGATACATACACATATCCGGTATGGGGGCGGGACCGGAAGTAGCTGTCAAAATTAGTTTGATGGAATGTCATGTATATTTCTCTCTCTTTGCCTTTTACTGGATTACCTAATTGTACACGAGAATATTTGGGATGATTTATGCTTGTCAGCATACTGGATTTGATTCTCTTCTGTCTTCTGTTTATTTCCATCTAGTCCTCCTCTGTTGATGTCTGCAGAGAACTACACACTGTTCATCAAAAATTCTGTAACTTTCCCCTTATTTGGCGTCACAAGGTGATTCATATCAAATTAAATTTAGCTCAGCAGAAGCTAAACATTTCCAAATAAAGACATAAGCTAGATTTTGGCAGATGTTATTAAAACTTTAACCTAATATGAACAATAAATAAAAACTCTTCTTAAAAGGGCAAAGGTCAGTTCATTTGTCATAGTTTGCGTATGTATATTAGCTTGTGTGGCCCTGGAGAAGCTATCTAAAGTTGATGATATCATCAGGGTTATCCTGAGTTTGACTTGAAACTTTATATATTTGACAGAACACCTGTGTTCAGAACTGGGGACATGGAGTTTTAACGATGAGGGCATTTACATTTATAAGATCTAATGAAAGATGTTTACTGAACTGCATTATGGGACTTATGAGTACCTGCCTGTCTGGAGCTTGAGTCATTTTAGGAGCTAGTTTTTACAGCACTGATTTTGACTTTTCTTTTTTTAAATTTGTCTCCCCCATGTCCCCAAAGTTTATGAAAGTGCAACACTAAATCACTTTAAGTTTGAAAGTTGTGACATACTGGGACTTTAAACTGATGCTGTTAGTGAAACACATCAAATGCTTAAAAACAATACATCTCTTGTTACATTGTTGGGCAGTGTAGTATTAATTGCTTCAAGATTAAAAAGATCACAAGAAAACATGCAGACGGTCTTGTTCTGTTTTTTTCCCCTGGACAAAATTCAACACACAAAAATGAATCTATTTAGAGTTTTGTGTTTTATAATGACCAAATGTGTTTTCAGGAGTAACCTGGTGGAGGGCATTAATTACGCATACATCAAAACCTGCCTTTATCATCCAACGGATTCTCCACTGTGCCCCATATTTAAACTGGGAGACATTGTTAAACTGTCTGGCTTCAATTTCAAAAAGATAGCCAAAGAGGTAAGTTAGCTCCGTGAGATCTTTACTCAACACTTTATAGGATTTTTCAGGTAGAGACAGATTTCCATTGCATCTAATCACAGCTGCACATGTACTGTCTTTTGGTTTTTTTCATGTTGTAATTGAGACTTGTATCGAGTACTATGTGCTTGTGTCATGACAGGGAGGAGCCATTGGTATTGTGGTCGACTGGACATGTAACCTAGATGTAGCTGTAAAACACTGTAAACCGAAGTACGAATTCCACGGTCTGTATGGAAACGCAGATGAGACAGACAAAGCCAGAGCTTCAATGGGCTACAATTTCAGGTGGGTAAATATACTTCACTGAATAGCCATAAACTCGAACACAAATTGTTTTTTCCCCCTGCAGAAATACCTAATGGTCCTATCGCTGCTGCAAAAAGCACTAGTTTGAAATTTTGGAGTTAGTTGAGAAGATTGATACCACTCTCATGCTTGTGTCTTAGCTTAGCATAAAGACCGGAAACAAGGGGGAACAGCTAGTCTGGTTCTGTTTTATAATGCCCCATAAAACCACAAACTGTTGTTGTTACACTACGATTTTAACAAACTATCCATAATGTGCTTATTTAGTGAGCATTAGAGGTGCTGATGAGGCAGACTTAATTACCTTAGGACAGAGATAGGTTAGCTGTTTGTTCAGCTTCTATTTTTTTGCTATGCTAAGGTAAGCTAACTTTCTCTTACTTGCAGCTTCAAATTGGACTGACATATGAGTGTTTTAACTCTCTTCGTCTAACACTGAGTAAGATAGTTAACACTTGCTATTGCATATTCTGCTCTCTCTGTTGTGCTAAGTAGCTTTCAGGGTACTGACTATTACTGCATGGGAAGTCTTTCATGCCATGTATTTGTGTAGACTAATTAATTCCTTTCTACCAGGTTAAATGCTGAAGATTTAAAAGCCCTTGTGTTTTACAAAAGTTTATTTCGCGGGGGAAGTTTGTTGTTCAGGCTCCTTTGTAAATACATTAATTCAACGCTTTGGTAAATCAATTCTACTTAACATGTTGTAATGATTCCCATGGCTGTTTGTAGGTATGCAAAGCATTATATGGAGGACAAAGTTCAGAAGAGAACCCTTCTCAAAGTGTTTGGGATCAGGATAGATATAATTGTCCAGTCACTGGTAAGTAATATACAATTGCAGAAAAAAGCATGCGAACCCTTTAGAATTACCTGGATTTCTGCATAATTTGCATTGGTCATTAAATGTGATGTGATCTTCATCTAAGTCACAACAATAGACAAACACAGTCTGTTTAAAATAATACCACACAAAACTATATGTGTTTATGTTTTTATTGAACACACAGTGTAAGCATTCCCAGTGCAGTGTGGAAAAAGTATGTGAACTCCTAGGCTAATGACTTCTGACCTCTAAGCTATTTGTCCAAACAATGAGACGAGATTGGAGTTGTTGGTTAGAGCTGCCCTGCCCTATAAAAACACCCACACCAATTTTAATTTTGCTATTCTCATGAAGTGATGTGAACCATGCCTCAAACAAAACTGCTCTTACAAGACCTAAGATTAAGAGTTGTTGACTTGCATGAAGCTAGGTGTTACCAAATATCTCTAAAAGCCTTGCTGTTCATCAGCCCACGCTAAGACAAACTGTCTATAAATGGAGAAAGTTCAGCACTATTGCTACTCTCCCTAGGAGTGGCTGTCCTGCAAAGATGACTGCACAAGCACAGCGCAGAATGCTCAATGAGGTTAAGAAGAATCCTAGAGTGGCAGCTGAAGACTTACAGAAATCTCTAGGACACACTTACATCTCTGTTGATGACTCTACGATACATCAAACACTACCACAGCACTACTGGCAAAATATTCTGTGGAGAGATAAAACCAAAGTTTAGTTATTTTGAAGGAACACACAACCCTAAGTGTGGAGTAAAAAGGGCACAGCACACCAACATCAAAAACTCATCCCAACAGTGAAGTATGGTGGAGGGGGAAATATGGTTTGGGGCTGTTTAGCTGCCTCAGGCAAGGGCACTGTATAGGGGGAAAAGTAAGGACAATTCCAAGGGCCCCTGACTGACAGGGGCCCCAAAAAATATGTAAAAACTAATCTAAAATAATATTATATTAAACATTACATAAACTATCATCATTGAGTAGATATATGTTTCAAATATGATAATACAATTAATGATCTCTTTGTTTTTACTTGTTTTTGGCAGTAAAAGTTAACATCCATATTGACCGACCACCCCCCTGTATCTGCATGAAATGGTTTGGTCCTGCCTTAGTGCACTCTTCAGTGACTGTGTTTAGTTAGAGTCAGTAGATGCGCCAAAAATACAGTGAATACAATGTTGCCTAGTAAACCAAAATCTGGTTTTCAAAAAAGGAAAGAGAGGAAAGAGAGAGAGGAAAGACAAAGGAAAGGTGTCAATCTTTAACCCTGTTTTTCACCAAGAAAGGTGGGCAGCCTTTAGTCTATGAGGGTATTAACCTGTTGGCTTAATGTCCACAGTGAAATAAGCTAGCTAGCTACAGACTAGGGTTAGCCCACATTTCATCAACATTTAATCAGTGCAGGGAAACATTTAGCAAGATATTCATATTAAATCATTGTCCCTGCTCCTTTTAGCAGACTTAACAACAGATGAGTCAGCAGCACCCCAGTCTCCCCATAACTGTAGCCCTCCCTGTTCCAGTGAAAAAGGTGAACAACATTGTGTTCATGACATGCCAGGGAGTCTGGAGATGTCTCTGTCTCTCTTACTCTTTTTACCGTTTGGAGATGTGGTGACAACAGCTGCAAGGACTGGCCCCAATTTGAGTTTTTTTGTCATGTGGCCCAAAATTCCTGGCGGCGCCCCTGGCCTCAGGGCCTGGAAGGGTTGCTATCATTGACGGAAAAATTAATTCCAAAGTTTATTTCAAAGAGATTTTGCAGGAGAATGTAAGGCCATCTGTCTGCCAATTGAAGCTCAACAGAAGATGGGTGATGTAACAGGACAACGACCCAAAGCACAAAAGTATATGAACAACAGAATGGTGGCCTAGTGAGAGTCTTGACCTTAACCAGATTCAGAATCTGTGGCATTACCTCAAGAGAATAATTCACACCAGATATCCCAAGAATATTGCTGAACTGAAAAAGTTTTGTAAATAGGAATGGTCCAAAATTCCTCTTGACCGTTGTACAGTTTTGATCTGCAACTACAGGAAACGTTTGGTTGAGGTTATTACTGCGAAAGGTGGGTCAACCACTTATTAAATCCAAGGGTTCACATACTGTGAATGTTTACTTGGTGTGTTCAATAAAACATGAAAACATATAATTGTTTGTATTATATTAGTTTAAGCAGACTGTGATTGTCTATTTTTGTGACTCGGGTGAAGATGAGATCACATTTTACGACCAATTTATGTAGAAATCCAGCTGCTGTATTTGAATATTTTTATTTATATAAATTTCTGACTTGAGAAATAGTCAAAGGGAATTTTCAATCATCGGCATGCTGTCCTTTACAGGCAAGAAAATTTGATATCATCCCAACCCTGACAGCTATAGGCTCTGGGGTGGGCATTTTTGGAGTGGTATGTTATAGCCTGACTTAAACATGCAATAATTGTTTATTGTCTGTGGAATACTTTGTATACAAACTAATATATTTATGATTCTTTTTCAGGCAACTGTAGTATGTGACTTGGTGTTGCTCTATTTGCTACCAAAAAGAGAATTTTACAAGAACATGAAATTCAAATACACAGACACACAAACACAGGTAAGCTCTATGATGCATATGCAGTGATACTCTACTGTAAAGTCTGTTGTAATGTTAGATCATTGAACACCAGATGGCAGCAGAGAGACATTTAACAGTAACGGTGCACGCGGACAGAAAACAGACATCAACGGTATTTAGTGTGTAATTCTTGTGATTGAATGCCTCATTCATCAAAACTAGAAGCCCCACTAGCACACAGGAGCAGTGACTTTCAGATTAATGCTCTGTTTATTCCCATAATATCCATTGGCAGTGCAGAACATCTGGTACAGTACAGCCTTTTATCTGATAGATAATTTCCCTCTCTAACTGAAGCAAGCAGAACATTTTGTATTTACAGCATGACAGCAAGTTGCTTGGTTTAGACACAAGCGTCTATTACACCCTTGAAGCAAATGCAAGACAAGTCCAAGGCACTGACCAGTCCAAAGTGAGTGTGTGTGAAGTCTAGACAGTAGATAATAGATTTATTTTATGTATTGTGTCATGTGATAATGAGGAGAATCCTATTTGTCATTACCTGAGGTCTAAATGGCTCCTATGGATTTAACTTTCATCCAACAGGACCCTGATTCAGAGGCAGGTAGCATAGAGACTGCAATGACAAAAGTAAGGGATTCATATGTTTCTTTGAATAAAAAAGCTTGTTTGCTTTGCATTTTGTGGTGGCTAATGTCATCTTTATCTGCTATTTCTGTATGGAAGTGACCTGGGAGCAAACTTTGAAGCTGCTGCTTTGAAGGTGTGCTGCACTGAAACCCTGCAAAACAACCTGCACGACAACACACATACTCTAAATTGCCTGGAGTCAAAGGACTTCTCCACGTGTCTTCTCTCTTCAATCTTCAGCAACATCTTCTACCAGCATCTTCCCTCTCTTACAGCCACCCTGAGAGACTGTGACTCCTCCTGCCTATTGTATGCAGTCCTAGCGTGGCTCAGCTGTTTTGTTTGGGTGTAGCTTGATTTGCTTTTGTTGCCTTTGTCTCCGTATCCATACAGTTGAAACTCATTCATTACCTCTGTCACAGTGTTTGTCAAAACGTAACGTGTGGCTGTGCCACTGTCAGTGATTCATCCTGTGTGCACTGTGCACCTTGTGATCAACAATTCAATTCAATAAAAGATGTACAATAATATTAATACAGTTTTCTCTTGTCACAGTGCAAGTAGTCAGATAGGAATACAGGCATAATATCAAAATAATTCCTATTTCCTTTTTTATTGTCTTTGATTGTGTCTAAGTGTACAAAAAGCATGCAAAAAATAGCTCACATATTTAGGTACATATTTACATTGAGACAACTGCATTCCACAGGGATGTGCCATGCTTCTGTTTTTGTGTGAGCAGCTTGGCACAGGCGATTGAGTAAATTCAAAGAAATGCACAAGACACGAGACAGACATCCAGAAACACAGAGAGAGCAGGACAGTCACATAAGATACACAGCAGCTATACTTAATAGTCTGTACAAAGTCTCTCTCCCACAACCCTCTTGCTGGATATAATGATGACCTGAAAACCTGCCAATCACAGCGCAGTATAGAACTCACTCTAACTGAGGTCCGACACTTTTTTTGGCTGTGCTCCATTCACTCTAATGCAAAAGGAGTAATTTTCTAACTTTCTTCTGTCGTATTTTTCCAAGATATGGTCAAACGCTGTTCCTGGGGCACTTGTAGTTACAGCAGTCAGTTTGAGTCAGTTTGACAGCCTGAATACAACCTTCAAATGTATAATGCAATTGCAAAACTGTCTGCTTCTTTCTGAGATCAAGACGCTTTTTCCAACAAATTTGGCAATATTTCTCAGGGGAGTGCAGTAATAGACAGTGGCAGCGCAGACAGTTTGTCGGACTTACGCTTTCCTCGCGTGAGTACATTCACTGCAAGTGTTCACAAACTACGTGAGAAGGCGATTTTAACGCGATAAGGTACAATGATAGCTGGAATAAAGTTAAAGACATATGTTTTCTGAACTCACCAGGTAGTTCAACCTCCTCGCTTTCTTTTCTCCAAGTAATGTCCAGTTTTGTCAGTTTTTTACATAAATATGAAGTTGTAGCAGACCTAAAAAATTTTAGTTATGCATTTTAATAAATTTATGAGAATTGATACCCAATTATGAATTCATAATTGAAGATTCCTCGTTTCAGGGCACCACCGGAGTAGTTATAATCCTAGAGTCTCCGGACCTCTAGGTAGTTTTGAATAATTATACAATTATTACTAGTGATCAGTTAGTTAATAATCGCTCAATTATCTTAAATCAGTCAGTCAGTCTCATATCTAAAGGGTCAATTCTCTTGGCAGGAACTGGAAATAGGCAACACACACAGCTCTTGATTATATTGCAGTGAATTTATTCTCTAACTAAGGTGATAAAAAGATGGTTGGATACAGGGAACATAAACATTTGCTGAACAATGAGCCTGGAGGTTCGATTGTGGGAAGCATTTGACTCATACGGCATAGAAGAGCTAATGAAAGTAAACTAATGCTATAATTTAGGAGTTAAAATGGACATCTGATCACAGAACGTGTGTTAAGTCTTACTGCTTGTCGACAGCCTGCTTTTGGCCTGTTGCACGGGTCCCACGCTAGCTGCCCGATCCTGGCTTTTTGCTAGGGATTCTCCGGGGTTCTCCGTGTCTGATTGAAAACGCCTCCTCCGTCTGGCAATTCGGCTGTTTTCAGGTTTCCTTCGTTGTAGCTGGCAAGACCACGTGGCTTGGTCTGACATCGGTGAAGTTGGCTCGACGAAAAAGGCTTAAAATGGAACTTGGTCGTTCCTGAATTAGTCCAGTGTAACTTAACGGACTGATAACTTTAACAAACAAAAGAAATAAAGAAAATAAAACAAACTGAAGGCAGATCGATGTCGCGGCACTTCAGGTGTGTAGCTTCAGGCGAACAAAAGGCCGGTCTCGCTGGCCGAGTCTGGGCGTTGCCTGGCGAGGCACGCCACGCGCGTGCCGAAGCGTCCAGAGGGCCGAGCAGAGTGGAAGAGAGCCAACAGCGAAGAGAAGAGAGCGAAGCGAGGTCGCGTGTCGCTCTTTTGTTGTCTGGGGCGTGGTTCCCCAGGGGGCGTCTCAGGTTTCCCAAGGGACTGCCTTTCTAAACTTAATGTCTAAAAAGAAACGTACGTCTTATAATCAAATATTTTCCACAATCGTACCTCAACGGTCAACGGTTGTACTGTTCTAGGCATTTGGTAACAGGAAACAATTGTCACATTATTGGTCAGGATATTTATACATTTAACGGCATTTCCGACGAGGGCATGTAATACTTATTTCGTCCACTTGGGGGAGCTCAGGTTACATGAGGAAAGCTTGGATTAAATCAAAGATCGTCTCTCCTTAGGAACTGGGAATATTGTTGATTCATCCTTAAATTCAAGCTGGCGATTAAGAGTATAGTAAAACATTTCTTTGTCATCATTTCTAAAGGAATTTTGTAGGAAAGTATTATGAACAAGCATTGATTACATTAGATGAAGGAGTGTCTTACTGAAAATAAAACATTGCACAAGTAACTTTCTTTTCAGCACTAATATCAACAACGGATAGCAACAACAGTTAACATAACTACTCAAATAGAGGCAAACGTAATCAGGTAACTAAAGATTTAATTAAACTTAACTCCAACTTTGGAGACTGCAGTCCTTAGCCATTCAAAGTTCGGTGTCTGGAACATGTCACACTTGGGTGAGACAGGGGTTTTCCTTTTTGATGTGGTAATAAAACAAAGAATAAGGTCAGTTGCCTCGGAAACGTGTGTGGGGGGCCAGTTTTGATAGGCTGTTCAGGGAGATGCCAATGGCTGGTTCGTGTCCCTTTGTCAGTTTAACAGTCAGGCCCCGCGTTATCAGCTTCGGAATCAAAAAGGTGCCAGTTTTATGGTCGGGCTAGCACTCGTAGTCCGACAGAGCTAACGATGCTAACAACAACACTGGAACCAGATGTGCACGGTAGCTAGCTACTGAGAAGATAAATCAACATTGAAATCCCAAAAACTAAAGTAAACAGCTAATTTAATAAAAGCAGTTAACTCCGAGCTCCTCCCGCAAGTAAACGGCGTAGTTGTCAGAGCAGAATCCGACCGACTACGGGTGTTTATTTGTCCAATGGTTGCAGCGCTGCTCCCTGCTCCTCTCCCCCAAGTTTAGCAGCTCTCAGCCGGTTGAAAATATTCATCTCACGCAAATTCCTTTGCAACAGGAAACCGCGACTCTACGCGTCTCTTCATTGACCATGTATGTAAACTCACTGCCCCGAACTCTCGCTTTTGGTCTTAAAGCACCATTAGCAACAGTAACTAAGGGGGGCAGGGCTTAGCCAAGGGTCAATTAAGCAGATGTTTTGGAGACTACGTAAAGTCTGTGCAGCACTGCAGCCGAGTCATACAGGTGACCACTTAAATGGCCATTTAAATGTTCCTGCTGTAGTACCACCTATATACAAAATTCCATTAAATTTAGAAGGCTCCATCAGAGTTGATGCAACATGCGCAGATGTCATTGTAATGTACCAGCGGTCTATAGTGCATAAATACCCACCGCAATTAACCACATGAAGACTAGGGTGAGTTACCTTAGTGTGTGGTCAGGCAGATAGTGGGGATGCTCCTTGTTTGGCATCCAGTGTGTTAACTACTGTACTACTTTCTGTTGGTCCAGGTTGGTAAAATGACTCTTGTATGATGCTCAAAGTTGTTTTTGGATGACTTTACTAAAGAACAACTGTTAATTGCAGATTACTATAACATTGAGATTGGGGACAGAAAATGTCTGCTGTAAAAAAAACAACAAATTGACACAATTCCAATCTCTCTGGTCCCCCTTGATCAACTTTATCACTTAATGGGGGTGGGTGTGTACTGCCTTGCTGGTCAGGGTCCCGTATGGCCGGTAGGTGTGTCTGGGGGTGGGTTGATTCTTAGATGCATTGCGGTGCGGGTGGCATGGTGTCGGGATGCCTAGGGCGCGGGCTTGATGGGGGGACCGGTGTTTGCTGCGCCGTTTGGCAGCAGAGAGGACAATCTCTCCCACATTGGCCAACAGCTGTGGAAAGGAGTGCTCCCCGACATTTTTGTAAATGAAGATCTTGGACACAAAGCTAGTATTTCAAGCTACTTCTGTGCTAATAGAGGAAATGTGCCACACTGTTTTTAAGCAGCCATACTAGGAAGTATTGTTATCAGCCTGGGTCTAATCATGACATTAATAAAATTCTCCTTTTCACTGTGGTTCAATTGGCCAGCCAAACATACTTTCTTTCATAGGGTGACTCACCAGACGAGCAGAAGAGAATGGAATCAATCAATCATGGAGTTATATAATCATTTCTGAAGCAGATTTTATTTTTTTAAAGAGAGACAAATTTTTTTAAATTAATTTATGATCCCAACACTTGTGATCTCAGGGTTATATACACACACACACTCTTATGGAATAGTAACTCTCACAATAGCCACCAATGTTATCATGCAGAAGAAAGTGAAAGAGAAGAACCTTTTGATACGATAACATTAAGCCTTAGTGATCCCTTAGCCTGGATCACTTTTTATGAGTAGATTCTGTTTCTCACGTTAGAGCACTCAGTGATGTTTAACTTGGACAATGAGATTATTCATGCCTTTAAATCAGCTCTGCATCCAAGAATATTGCATAACAATACATTCTAATTTGGAAAGGAAAATATTTAAATGTGGGCAATCATGGGTGCTTTCCTTTTTTCAGTCTGTTCACATTCACAATCAAACATACAATTAGAAATGTTCCAATTCATGTGACAGGTGACATGGAATCCTAGAGTTCAGTTTGAGGCACGGTAACAGGACAGAACTCATCAGACAAACAACACATAACAGAATAGGAGAAGAAGCGTGACATGACACAAATAACTTCACATCACAGTGGAAAAAGTCACTTTGAAATGTATTCAAGCATATCAAAGTCTTGGTCCTTTCTGTGTAATCACTAATACAGCTGACTTCTGTTCCTTTCTGTTAGAGAACTTTCTCACCCAGCTCCAAAGTAAAAGCTACTGATGGCATAGATATAAAAAGTAGGGGTGGAAGCTGTGGGTAAGCCTGCCAGCTGTGGGTTGCCCGTGTTGCAACTACCCCCCAATTTTAAC